TTTTTTCTAGTATGAAAGACAGTAATGTTGCATCTTGATTAACAGTTGTATTCCCTTTTTAGCACAGAAAAATCGTGTTATCTTTTAAATACGGTTCATTTACTTGTTAGAAGTATTTCTATTTCAGTGTTCTCTCAAAGGTGTTCAAAATCACAATGAACCTTTTTCTGAGAAAACGGGAAACTTCAAGATAAAATCAGAGGTTGAATTTTTGCTTTCATAGGATATTGTTTTGAATTGTTTTACAACACAAACTAATAGATACTGTACTATGAAAGTAAAACTAAAGAGAAAATACTGTCATATATAGAAATGGTATCTGATGCCACACAAAATATATTTTTCTGCTAAAAAAAATGCTTTGTGATTGATGTTCAGGTGCCTGGTTAATAATAGATGTATGCTGTTACATTGTTCCCTTAATGTGTTCCTTATTTTAGGTGCTGTTGTATACTAAAATACATTTCCATGCTTCTGTGTTCCTGTGTTTTCTGACAGAACAAACTTTCTAGTTTGGTAAATCAATGCCTAGGAACATGTTATGCTCTGGTGTGCAAAAAAAGTAACCCTTAATAAACCTGTATTAACTGGCTACTTTCTGATTTGGGAATAAAAAAGGCAACCCAGAACCTATTTTTTTTTATACAGGGATCAGCTTTTCCTGTCAATTATGCAAGCAGAATCGTGCAAAAGCAGTGTTTTCTTCCGTAAGTATAAAAGCTTCTCCTTTTTTCCACTTTTCCTCCACACTCCCAAAAAAATGCAACTTTAACAACTTATTTTATGCTTTCCCCATTACCACACTTCTAGCAACTCCAACTTGATGGGAGCACGACTGGCTGGGTCCCATGTTGATACACTGGAGCCTAAGACTAATCCTTTAGTAAGTGTTTCATAGAATGGTATTTTGTATATTGTCTTAATAACAAAGAGGGTTTACAGGAAAACTTGAATTCCTTTTTCTTTCAGCTTTTTAAAATTCTGTTTTAATCATGTCAGATGTGCTGTAGGGACATCTACATCTCCCCCGCCCCTTTTGATCCCCATTTGGATCAAGAATCCAAATGCCTTGATTTTGACAAAAGACTTTAGAAACACCTGTTCCAATATGTGTAATACATGCAGGCAAGCCAAAATATTATAGGCAGTATTAGATCCACAGTGCAGACCCAGCCTTCCTGCCATGTCTGGTACGTACTGGATTTACTGTACTTAACTGCCTGGGAGTAAACCTGTGGGAAAAATCAGTGCTTCCTGGACAAGTCAAGGCTTTTTAGATGATCAGTGAGCCCAGGCCATCAGAAGTTGAAGCTCTAACTCGAAGTCACAAACTTGTACCTGGACAAACAGAAAGGATAATATGCCTGGGGAAGCTTACTGTTTAAAGTAGCCTTCTAACTGACTTAGTAAAGTTGGAGTTACGGTTACTGTCCATAATGTTCTAGTTACTGTCCGTACCCAGGCAAATTTTGGGTATTCTCACATAGCTATTTAAAGTACAAATACTGCTGCTCCATACTTGCTTTAACAATGAGTTTCATTCTTGCCTTTGCAACTGTTGTCCTCCTTATATTTATCTGGCATTCCCTTTCCTTTTCCGATCAATAAATTCTACCTAAGTGTTCAGAAGTTGGGTGTCTCTTCACACTTTTGCCTTCCCTGATAAGAGTGAGAACTGTCAGTCAAGGTCATGCTGTCAGCCTCTTGCAGATAAACTAAAATAAGCAGCTAAAAGTGTGTGGGTTTTTTCCTCTTTTACAAATGGGGCACACAGGCTAAGAAAATATTCAGTGTGTTCATTATTTAAGGAGAACATGAAGTGCTAACTCTTGTACTTTCTTTAAAAATGCAGGTATCTCTTTCAGATGAGCCAGAAACACTGTATAAGAGATTGTCCCTTCTAGTTAAAGGCCACGATAAAGCTGTATTGGACAGCTATGAATATTTTGCAGTGCTTGCAGCTAAAGAACTTGGCATCTCTGTTGAAAAGGTGTAAGTAACCAACCTGTAGAGTGATGTGGTGTCAGATGCTTCTCGTGTCATCTACTGTAATTCAGGTTGTGTGCTTCGAAGCATTTTCTTTTTTTTTTTTTTCAGAAGAAAAATTTTTTTCTCAGATGATAAATCTAGCACTTCTTAGATGGCAGCACAGTGATGAGAAAGCAGCAGCAGTTCTACACTCAGCACTGCCATAGTCAAAATACATTTTAACTACATGAAGGATATTGACAGTACTCTTAAGTACAGTTATCGCTAGCTTCCCTGAGCTAATGCTGGTGAATACCTGAGTATTAACCATGCCCATGTGGGTTAATAATAAATTGTACCAGTGTTTAACACTTCCTTGTAGATCTTCTAAATATCAAATAAGAACAGTGATTTCAGTGTAATCTTTCAGATAATTTGTATTGGCATCCTTTATATAAAATGACATTTTCTTTTTGTGCTTTGTTCAGACATAAACCTCCAAAGACGATAGAACGATTGACACTCTTAAAATCTGTACACATTTACAAGAAACACAGAGTTCAGTATGAAATGAGAACACATTACATGTTAGAGTGTTCTAGCTGCACAGTTCAAAGATGTTAGTAGATGTTAGTTCAGGGGTGAACACAAACTTCCTGATTACTTGGGTTTGGGAGGAGAGTGCAGGGAAGAGCAGAAAACAGCTGACCTAGATACATGAAATGTAACATGAGTTATTTTGAATGTACTTTTTCTACATGTACAATGTACCCAAATGTGTAATTTTTTAATTAAAAGGCTGGTTTTGACCATCATATTAACAGCTGAAAGAATGATTAAAAAATAATGTAGAATATGTTTTATGCTCTTGCTTTCCGAGGATCAGTGGGATGGAGGTTTCTCAGGGAGGGAAGAAGATGCAATTGAATCATTGTCATTACCAGTTACTAAGGGTTCTGTTTGTGAGTTTTTCTGATGTTTTTGAACACACGTACTTTGGCCCTATGCAACATCATGTGGCAAACTAAAACTGCGTGGGGGAAATACAAGAAAGGAAGCATATACAAACCACTAGCTCTGTGGCTGATGACACAGACTTATGTATGGTTTAGAATGCAGCTGTGGTTGACTTTCTTAGAAGAAAGGTCTAGTGCCAGCATTTTGTGGCTCCTGGGTGTCTTGCTGTGTATTTGCACAATGCTTAACAAAATGGGACTTCACTTGAACATTGAGAGTATACAAAAGCTAATTCTTGCATAACCTGTAATTCATTTCATCTGATGCTTGCAGTGTTAAGATCCACCACTTCCATCATAATCAATGCCTGTGATCACAGGCAGTATGCCCAATTCTGTGGGTGAAATAACTCCTTTATACTTGCGTCAGAGTTGTGTACAGCTCAAGTGCCTCTGTTCAATATTATGGAATCTGCCTTCCTGTAAGATGTTTCATCCTGTAGCAAGAACTAGAGAAGTTAGGGCAAACATTTTTTTTGTGTTCTGTTTGAAATATCAATATACTAGTTCATTAAAAAAACATTATTTCTGTTGTAGTTAAAATACCTGACAAGCAGTACTGCTGCAGTTTACTTGGAGTATGTTCAGCGAAACTTACCTGAAGGGGTTGCCATGGAAGTAAAAAAGGTAAGTTTCCATCTCACATTATTAACTGTTACGAGACTTAAGTACTGATGCAGGTACCAAAAAATACGGAAGTCTTTAGAAAGTCAGGAAGGAAATGCATCGAGTTTGGAAGGAACATTTTCCAAAGTTATTAAATAGTAAAGAGGCTGTATTGCTTGAAAACGCCACTAGGTGGCATTTTTAATCTGATAAATATCTCAGACCAGACTAAATAAAGCAAAGCAGTTAGATGTTAAATAGTTAGTATAATAAATGGTTGCTTTGCTTTCCTTTTAGACTAAGATAGAGAAAATACCTGAACACATTCAGGAACCAGTTTGGGATACAGTACCTCAAGTAGAAGAAACTGAAGTCAAATCGTGAACTCACCAGGTACTTGGCTGTGTTAGTGCTGAAACTAGTTGCTTCTATCAACCTAATTTACTCAGACAGTCTACTGTTAAATAAAAGTTCTCTTATAAAGTAATTATATAAACTCTTGTTTGATCAAATTATTCTTGCTCATAACTCCAGTACACGTAGACTGAACAGCTATAAAGTGAAGAAGTTCGTACTCTTGTGATCAAAAACTATGGTCATCTATAATATGTTTGTAGAAAGATAAAATGGATCTTTATTTTTATATATATGTATGTATATTTATATATATGTATATATATAAAAATAAAAATATATCTAAAAATTCACAATCTCTTTGATACTAAATGGCTTCTGAATTCTGAAATACTTGCAAAATCCACTTCCCGTTTCTGTGATGGAGGCCAGATTGTTACACATTTTTTGCTATAGTTCCTTTGAAGTAACTGAATCCCGGGTGTATATATAGCTTACCTATTAACTTGTAGTAAGTCAAAACCACAATCTTAGAGGAGACTTAAGCATACTGAGACTTTTCTAGGCTCCTGCAGTTCGAATAGCCTCATTTCCAGTCTTAGTAACTGCTTGCTAACAGAAGAACACAGTGATCACCGTAGAAATCTGAGACTTCCCCAGGCTTCTGTCTCTAACTCAAATGAAGTGCTTGTTGCAAAGCAAATGGATACTACAAAGTGTCATTGTGAATAGGACTGACAGCACGCACATTAAGTGTTTTAGTTCACTACAGGGAAAGGCATAGCCTTTTTCTAAACCAGCTGGGTTGGTTATTGTATAAACCCAGTCTAGCGGGACACTACTTGTGCTTAGAGGGGAAAAACAGTACAAATAGCAAAAGAGTGCTCAACTACTTTGAAGGTTAGTTCACCATGAATTGAAGGAGATAATACTACTAGGTGCAAAGCCATCATCAACTTTACTTTCAGATTGCATTAAGCACTTCTACCTTTACTAGGTTAGCAGGAAGGATGCAGCTGCAGGAATCTGCTTCATTGTTAAGGGAGTGACTTTGATTTGGCTGCTGTTAGAATTTATGGAAGGAATAGCCAGCTGGGTCACAGGAGAGGCTGGATCATACTTATCAAGAGCGCTCAAAGCTTTATACAGTCACAAAAAAAAAGATGCCCAGTGTTATTGTCATAGAGAAATGGACAATCTTAATGGGAAATCGTTGAAAGACAAGAGACCAAGCTTGTGCTTGAAGATTGTCTGCATTTTCTAGCTGTAGAGAGGCCCAAAACTGTTTTAGGAGGGATGTTTCAAGGCAGTCAGTATCGCTGGTATCACTTGTGGTAGGAAGGAAGCTGCCTGTGCATCTTCTACAGTATGTTTCAGAAAAAAAAAAAAAGTTAATCAAAGCTCTTATGAGAAGACACACTGCCTAGTTCTCCCTTCAAGGTGTTTGCTTTCCTCAATTTCAAGCTATTCTTCCTTTCTCTCATTCCTAGTATTCAGTCACAATAGCATTTCTTAAAGTCATGTCAGACACTATATAGCATGAGGGAAGAAACTGTGAGCTGACCTAGCTAAATAAAGCTTGGTGCTTCAGAGGAACAACCTCTTTCAAGTCTATATTATATTTTCTTCAAATTTGCCCTGTTTCCATGCTTTAGTTTGGTATAAGCCACCTGCCAAGTTCAAGCTGTATATAGTGTTGAAGTGTGACTGTGCTCATTACTAAGTCTTCCTACATCTTGGTTTGATGCATGTTAAGGTTAAGGGGTTGTCTTTTACTGGTGTTCTACTCTCAGCCTGCAGTTTTTGGCTAAACGGCCAGTTAGCATGGCTTTTCAGTTGGCTGAGAATTTTATTTATCAGACCTAAATAGGAACGAACTTAGAAGACAGCTGCAGAAAGTATTAACCCATGTAAGCAACGCCCTGGCAGAAGAGATGCTTGATCTTGGGAAAGGTGTATTAGTAGAGGATTTCTTGCTTCTAGCCTCATTGTATGTTGGGGAAAGACAGTGTACATTTAAAGTGATCTCTGGACCTTAACTATGTTGACAGAGCCATAGCTAACTGCCATCACTGATCATCTCCACCCTGAAAAAGCAGAATGACCTATGCAGAGTCTGACTGTTACAGACCAATATTTACTAGCACTGCTGCCTACTAACCTGATAGACACCTAGTGAGGCTGAACTTATCCTTATTTTTCCCTGTATAAAACTTCCTTCCTTTTAAGACTGTGATCCTTCCCTGCTTCCTCTATCCTCCCCTTCACGTTTAGGGGTTTCCTAAGGCATAGCAATATCTTTGTCTTTATCTCTAGTTATGTATTTGCATAGCACCGTAACTGTGTAATACACTCCAATCATCTTTTTCCATCCACTAATGTGGCTTCTGACTTTCATATAGCATGTTCCTGATCCTCACTTACAAAACTTCGGATAAACTATTTTGTTGGATAACTATTTCCATTCTTTAATTCTTTTCACATTCTTTTACTACATGTTTTTTGAGTTTTGCTTTCTGCCACCTTTCTTGGCAAGTGCTAACAACAACACTCCAATCGTTGCTTTAGGTCTTGTCTCAAGTCATCTCTCTACCTACTGACGATCTCATCTGATTTTCAATCAGAAAATTTTAATTGGATTTTAGAGGAACTTAATAAAAATGGCATGCTTCATACCATTTATAAACATCAGTGTTTGAGCATTGCATTGTGTTCTTATGAGTAAGACGTCCGAAGCTTAAACGAATCTGTCTGAAGTGCCTACTTTTGCATTCATACAGCAAAATTGCCAGAATTGCCAATTTCATGCCCTGAAATAAAGGCAACATATACCTCACAGGATGTTCTGTGCCTCTCAGCAAAGTATTCCTGCCTGCCTAGGACTCCAATTTGAATCTAAAAGAGTCGAACCACTGCCAGTACCACTGTATGTGTAAACTAGCACTTCCACCTTATGGAGAGAGGGTGAGGTTTTCAGACATGGAACTGACCTAAGTCCGTAGGATCAGCTCAATATCTCTGCTTTTTTAATAAAGGAAAGATGGATGAAAAGACTTGACAGCATGCAGTAGCAAAGCTTGACTTTCAATATCCAGTAACCTGCAGTCTTGCCCTATAACCAGGAGAACAGATTCTTAATCAGGCTGCTCTCACCCCAGACTGATACTTCATTAGTCCCATCTAGCAAACAAGTTTAACACAAGTCTGTCAGAGGAGATTTTAAAATGTTTGGTTAAGCTAATGCTTTGTCTTTCTAGTTGGGGTTTTACTACATATAAACTTAGGCAACAATAAACCTTCAACCTAATTACCTTTGCTTTTCCTCCCCCCAGTTCAGGTTTCCCTGTAATCTTTGTGTGGCATTCAGGGATAGACACCTCTAGGTCTGAAGTCCAGTCAAGTTCCTCCTACCCCTTTGCACATAACTGTATTCAGTTCTAACCTGCTGCTGGTATACTCTCACTGAGCACTTTAGAACACCTGTAATAGAAAAGAACTGAAAATACTCAGGAACGCAGACAGACCAATGAGCAAATTATTTGATAAAGTTTTCCCTTATTCAAAGGCCAAGGTAGACAACCCAAACTATTTGCATTGACAGGAAGAAAATGGTGCTTTTCTGAGTACAGTTCCTCACTGTTAGAAGGCTGGGTTATGACCATCCTCAAGCTTGTATGGGTGGATGTCGAGCAATCTGCCAGTGTGAGAAAATGCTTTCCCAAGGGTCGTAGAAAACAGATGCCAATATAAAGCTGTTACAGAAACCCACAGAGTGGTAGCAAATACTAAGAAAAGTATCATGAAAGCCATTTCCAGGTATGACAGTGAACCTCTTCATTCCATCAGTGGTTAGACTGTCTCAATTTAAATAGGAACTGTGCTAAATATTGGCACTGAAAATATACAAGTTTTTGAGTCCATTCAATCTTTAAAATCCTTGGTGACTGCTAGTAAGCTGGAGGTGGATTTCCTTCCACAAATACTTTGTGACTAACAGCTGCCAGCCTACTTTAGGTGTCAAAAAATACACAGACCAATATATTATGTAAATAATATAATAACTGTTCATAAAATTTTCAGGTTTGTGGAATAATCTAAAACTAAATCCAGAGCATTCATGTTACTTTTCTTTGAGACTTTTAACCACTTAAAAGTTGTCAGGAAGGCTCTGCTCTGCTCAAAGGCACTTGTGGCAGAATCCTATTACTTACGGATTAAAGATATTTTAAAAGCGGTATAAATTACCCTGCATTTCCAAGATACCCAGTGTTCATTTGCCCTATGACTGTATCTTTCAGTACAAAAAAAAAAATTGTGAACAGTAATTTCTGTACCATTTAGTAAGGTATTTATTCTCAGCATCTCATCAAAGTGCTCTAGAGCATGTATTTCCCTTTCTTCTACATGCCAAAGGTCATCAGTCATGCCTAGAATGTCACTTCCATTTTGGTTTCTACAGTTAGTCTTAGTCATAACACCAGCACGCGTTAATTGTCATGTTAACCTTAATATGGCTATACAGCAAGTTTCTTGCTTTAGACGCCTTTCCTGCTAGTCTCTGCATTTCATGTGCTGCGAAATTAATTAGTATCTATCTGTTATTACAGGGAGCACTGGAAATAAAGCAAGTCCAAGGGAAAATCATTTACCCGGGAAGTTCTGACATGAGAAAGTTTTGCTCTTTGTGTAATATAAAGCTGTAGTTAAAATGACTTCAAGTATGCTATTGTCTTAGATCAAACTGCACTAAAACAGGCAGAGTCTAGTATTTGTCCCTTCAAATTAGAAATTTGGGAATAGAACCTTGCATGCTGATCATGGCTTTTCCTGGCAAGCGCCATGAGGAAATGCCACCCTTCCTCTAGTTTCCATGCTTTTGCAGACACAAAAATAGCACATCTGGCTTTTAAAAATATCTTTCCTGTCATAAAAGTTGGGGAGATTTCTTCCTCCTATTTAAATAGTTCATCCTCAGGTTTCCCTCTGACTAGTTTGCTGTGGTCTTCTCAACTTCAGGGCTTTTTTCACTC